GAGTTCGTGTAATGACGGGACTGGGATGAAACGTCCTGACTTTGTTACGGGCCTTCGCATGTCACAACGGATCGGGGCGAACCAGTAAGACGTTTTTTCCCATGTGACCCACCCGTGTCCATGCAAGACAAGGGCCGAAAGAATGACGGGGGAAGGGGGGAAAAGGTGCAATAGGGCAGATGCGTAAAGTGTTGTATATTTTCTGTATGGGCAATGTGTAGCCCAAATCATCAAAATTTAACACCCCCCTCGTTCTACTCACGAGTGATTGACCTTTATACAGAAGCAGTTTGGAAGTTTACTAGAAACCCATTAAAAAAAAAAAAAAAAACAAACAAACAAACAAAAAACAATGAAGGCATTCGAAGCTGCACCCCCAAAGTGGAGGTAGCTGATGTTTAGCGCACCTCCCCAAGGAGGGCAAGCCACCTCGGCTGGGTCCCGGCGGACACATCATTCTGCCAGGAGCGACCTCACTGATTTTCCCATCTTCGAAAATGGGGGAGTTGCGCCACCGAAGAGGTTGAAGCTGAAGTGGAAGGAGGGGCAGAAATCGTTTGCGAAGCAGCTGAAATGGGAGGGCAGATGGAAAGGGCACATCAACTGGAATAGAACCATCGCTATTTGGGATTCGCTAATACACCAAGCAAGCCGAGGGACATTCTGCTACGCATTCATAACGTTAATCTACAAGTGGGGGAGCGGGTGGCCTTTTTAGCATCAAGCTGGTCTGCCCGCACTGTGGAGGCTGCGAAACCCTCGAACGCTGTTTATACATTTGCTCGAAATTCCAAGTGGTGACCTCGGCTCTCCAGAAAACTCTCCACATGGTGAATGCCTCGCGCGTGGTGTCATCGCTGAGGGACCTGTTGTTCCGGAAGGCGGGGGCCAGCACAGCATTTGCAGAAGCTACGATCACATCCATCACCCTGCATCAGCTCTGGCTGGAACGTTGTGATGCGGTCTTCAGGGGCACGAATTCTCGGGCGAGGAAGGTGCTCCGTCGGATTGAAACTGCTTTTCGCTTGCATGCAAGGATCCACAGAGGACGAGTGACGCTCAATGGAGAAAGCGTCAGGGCACGAGGCAGGAGAAGAAATTTCGCCGCACGATGGAAGGAGAGAATAGGTTACTGTTTCGGAACAGGGACACGAACAGCAAGTCATGGACGTGGACAAATGCATTCACCTCTATCTGGCTCTCCCGGGGATAAATCACCCCCTTAGATTCCGCAATTGGGGTGGCCATGTGGCCCCCCTCATGCACAGTCACGACTGCTATTGTTTATGTATGCTTGCTCTGTTCGTTGTACATATCAAATACCCAAAACAAAGGTAAAAGTTTTTATTTTACCCAAATTTGATTACGTTTTTTATTCATTTTACGGTTGTTTTTTATGATACCGTATTTTACGGTCAATATTTACTAGAACAAACAAATACACCTTGATTCCAGGCCCATCTAAGACGCCATTCGATGCACTCCGAAATGTGTTATCTGAATCAATTTGGTCAACCCGAACCGAACTTGAATTGATTCAAGTGCGGTTCGATTTTACTCATGCCTGTCTCCCGCCGTGCTCTCCTCATTTCCCAATTGAGTTGACTTGTGTTCTTGCTGTCCCTCACTCAGTCCATGCCCTCTCATCTCATCTCTTCACTTCTACCCCAACCCACACCACGCACACGCAGGTCTCTTTCAAACAACAATTTGACGGGTCCCATTCCTGATGGCATCTCCATGCTTGCTCAACTCACTTCTCTGTATGAAGCACCCTGTTTAAGCCTGTCGATAAGCACGAACATGACCAACAGTCACATCAAATTTAGAACCTTTCAGACACAATCGACAGCCAATCCAGGCTGAATGTCCTGCATCTCCTTCTCCTGTCCTCCACTCCTAGGCTAGGGATGGGCGAAACTAGTGCCGGATGCTGGTCTTGTCCAGCCTGCATTGTTGGTCGGGCTGGCCTGAGGCTTTCGGGTTGAGCAATGGCCAACCTCTGGCCGTCACAGACCTGAATTCTTGCCAGGTTGGCTTGTGGCTTGTCCGACAGGTGACGAGCCCAGTAGGCTCATCTCGAGCCTAGGGTGGCCATGATTCTAAAAGAGGCTCACGTTGGCCACTTCCATTAACCTTCGAAACCTCCCAATCACTCCCTAGACGGACCTACCTATCCTGTAAAACTTCAGGCTGGTTGGTGGCGCTGAATCAATGGTGATGGATTGCGGTCAAATACCGTGGACATGAAGTAGTTTGTCTGGCTTTGATTGAGAACGCTTCCACAGTTAGAATGTCGTAAACGCGAAGAGCACGGACCGGGACGTCTTCCCTGGGGTACTGACCTGACTCGATCCGACCGGTACCCACTAGGGACGGGCCAACCTGATGCTCTTGTCTGAGTAGAATTCTGACCTGCCGAGAGGGCCAATTTGCATTTTTTTTTTTTTTTTGGCAAAATGCTTAGCAAAAAACTCACCACTTTATCCTTTTCTTGCAGGTTTTTTTCTGTATTGGAAAAAAGATGCCGTTTTTTCACGCAAATAAAAAATTATTTATGTTTTTTACGGTTGTTTATTATGATGCCATATTTTTGTTACAAACTGTGAGATCTAGAAGGCTCTATGCCCTTCGATTAAATCACAAAAGATGGACTCCACGAGGTCACCTCTGAGGGTCTTTGGGTGCTAGGCAAGCCAGCCCCTACCCAAGGGTCCATGTTTGTAGAGAGTTCCACCAAGTGTAAGTTCGATCGAGAGCACTAGAGTATTCCTACAGTTATTCGCGCAGCGTCACATCGATCGATTGTGGCTCATGTGCATATTAAACTCTTCACGTCAATACGTTGTAAGAGTAATATTCAGTCACAAAAGATTGTTCACAAACAAACGCAAGCACAAGTTTATATTAAGCGAAAGCTACCAGCCCACCGAAGTGACAACTAAAACCATATTTTGAATTGCCAACTTTCTCTATGCGGAACCAGTGGGACATACTCGCCCACGAACGTTTATGCAGGCCATACTTGTCCGCGAAGCCTCGTGGACGCTCGGTGGCGACCACTCGTGACAGCTTACGGAATCTCCTGAAGAAATGGCGCAGTTACGCACGCGATGAAATTACTCCCGCACAATTCGCACCAGCTTCGAATGTAAATCGCGCGCTTCGCGAAACACCCCGTAACGAAATTCCTCTCGGCTTATGAGGACAAACAGCTCGAGGGTCCCACAATTCAATTGTTGACCCACGTGCCCTCGTCCTTTCCCACGCGCCACCTCACTGCCACACTCGCGCGTGTGGCGAGGAATTCTTTTGCGGCCTCAGGCCGCGCGTGTGCCTTGACTGGCACACTCCCCATGATTGCGCCTAAGGCGCAACAGTGCTCGGGCTCATGGCTTTGAGCCTTGACCACCTCGATAGGGAGAAACCCCTAAAACATCATAAACGAAAAAAAACGAAATTACAAACGAACTCATCAAACCAACTGAAAACACAACTATTAAAATTCACCTACAACCCATGAACTCACACGAACGCTTCACAAACAAACTCATGAACATCCACAACACTTTCACGAAAACCCGTGACTCGCAGAACACATGAAATAACACGATCGCACACAAAATCTCGGAACTTACAAAATGACACGAACACTCACCTTCACTTATGGAAACTCATGAACACTCACAAATGCAACCCTCCACGAAAACGCTCATAACTCATGAATAGTCGAGGCGATTCACGAACCCTAAACGCCCAAACGTAAAGCTCAGAAATGCGCACCTCACACATAACAAATTACCTTCAAACAGAAAACTTCATTTACCTTCACCGACGGCGAATAGGCGGTAGGTTGACGTGCAAAACGCATATTGCACTCAACAATTTTACGGTCACAATTAGGGATGAGCATGGAAACGAACACGTTCGAGGCGAACCGAACAGGATTTTTTTTGGCTAAAAATGTTCGGAGCGAACGTGTTCGGTGTTCGCCCCGCTACTGCTGCCGAGCCGCGTCGAACATGAACGCGTTCGTGTTCGTTTCGGGGCAAAAACGAACACGAATGTGTTCGACGCGACTGTCCCGGCGGGCTACAATTTACGTTGCGGGACATTCTGTTTGAGCTCAAACTTAGTCGCGCTATTCAGCAGCAGCCATTACTACCACGCCCCCCACACATCACGCCGTTATCACCTCATTAGGACTTAGCGTAATTAAGTAGTTACCTTAGGTTAGTCTGTATAGACTTGGGTATGCGAGATTTAGGTTTTCGGGAAAAGATTAGACAGGGATATCGCAGAAGTTCGTAAGTTGAGGGTTGGGGGTAAGCATTCGCAAATTTCGTATGCATGGGATTGTTAGGAATAGCGTTTGCATATTTCGTGAGTTGGGGGGTTGTGGGGGGTTGGCGAGCAATTGCAAATTTCGTAGATATAGAACGGGGAGAGCATTTCGCCTTACGTGGGGGGAAATCCAGGTGGCGAGCTGGATAAAAAAAACTATGGATCCGTAACTAAATCTCGCAAAATGCTGATCCAGCCTAGATATTTTCCCCCAGTTTCCCGCAATTCCCCTGCCCGCCGTTGCGTATTTTGAGCATAACAAAGGATGCCCAGGGGCGAACACGTTCGTGTTCGCCTTAGCATGCAAGATGTTCGCCCTACAGGCGAATTCGGTTCGCCGAACGGCAGTGTTCGAGCTGGGGCGAACGCGAACATGTTCGTGTTCGCCCCTTGCTCATCCCTCACAATTTGACTAAAAAACTCTTCTTATTTTGCACCTTGTTCCCAGGCCCATGTTTGATGCCATTCGATGCACTCTGGACTGTGTTATTTAAAAAGTTTGGTCAATTCGAGTAACGTGAATTAACTCAATCTCAAGTTCAATTCAAATGTTACTCATGCCTGTCTCTCACCATGCTCTCCTCATCCGCCAATTAGGTTGAACTTGTGTGCCTCTAATCTCATCTCCTCACTTCTACCCCAACCCACACACACAGGTCTCTGTCGAACAACGTCTTGGCGGGTTCGATTCCCAATGGCATCTCCATGCTTTCTTGGCTCACTTATCTGTATGAAGCATCTCGACAGCCAATCCAGGCTGAATGTCCTGCATCTCCTTCTCCTGTCCTCCACTCCTAGGCTAGGGATGAGCAAAACTAGTGCCGCATGCTGGTCTTGTCCAGCCTGCATTGTTGGTCGGGCTGGCCTGAGGCTTTCGGGTTGAGCAATGGCCGACCTTTGGCCGTCACAGAACTTGATTCTTGCCAGGTTGGCTTGGCTCGTCCGAGCCAAGTAGGCTCGTCATGAGCTAGGATAGCCATGTATTTACAATAGGCTCATGACCACTCCCTTGACGGACCTAGCTATTCCAATTTACTTCAAGTTGGTTGGTGGAACCAATGCTGATGGATTGCGGTCATATACTATGGAGTAGTTCGTTTGCCTCTAATTCAAAACGCTCCCACAGTTTCGGTGCACTGCATTTGAAAGCTCGCAGACTTGCAGGAGTTTGTGAAGTGGAATTCTGTCTTCTCCCACATCATTTTGCTCTTCATTTCCCACTCGCATAGCTCGTGTGCTGTGCGCCCATCCATGTGCCCTTTTCCATTCTTCTTTCAAAGACCATCCCAGTTCCTTGCGTTCCCTCATGCCACAACCTAAACTACGTTTCCCCAACTACTTACATTCCCCTCCACCCCCCACCCTCCCTGCTTCCAGCGAAGGCTGCTTGTTATCCTCCGTGCTCCCAACAGTGCTCTCCACCTGATGGGATCTCGACCCATCGAACCCCCGTGGGCCGCCATGCCTGCTATACTCATCTCTTCTTTTTCTCATCCAATTCCCACAACACACAATGCACAGGGATCTCGCATCCAATTCCCTCAGTGGCAACATATTCAGTGACTTTGAATTGCTTGATCGCCTCAACTATCTGTACGTTGTTGTTTGGCCCTCTACAGTCTGTTTCAAAGAATTCTGAGAGCGTGATCAGCTAATGACTACAAACAGATCTAGATCTATCAACTCACTTCCATTAGCGCTTTGTGGCCCCTCCACACCCCAGTTGCCGTTCCTAAGCATTCTGGGACGACCTGTGACCAGTTCAGTGGTTTGCCAACACCATGCATCTTCTCTCAGTAGTTGTTTCCCAGTCCCGTTGGACCAACCCGCCATACATGGTTCAATCATGTGTTGTTGCGTTGCTTCATGTAGATGGATGCACGGCGCTGCGTTGCTGTGTGCAGGAGGCTAGGCTAACTGAGATTTCTCCTGTACTTTTCATCCACCCCTTGTGACCAGAAACCTTTCTGATAATGATCTCAGCGGTGAGATTCCAGCTGAGATTGGAGGCTTCACTTTATTGAAGTACTTGTAAGTAGGCTTGAGCAAGTATGAAACCCGAATGAACCTTGTAAGAGGCTTGAGCAAGTACCAAAGCCAAACTGATCTTGTAATAGGCTGAGCAAGTGGGCTTGAGAAAGTGCCAATCTGGAATAAACTTCTAAGTATGTTTGAGAAGATACTTAACTGGAACTGAACCCGTGAGTAGGCTTCAGCAAGTACCAAAGCTGTAAAAAAAAAAGTAAGCAGTGTGATATATACTTGACATGGGTGGGCCATAAAGAGCACTCTTGCAGGATTAGTAGAGTCTTGCAGCTTTTCGCAGCTTACAAAAAAGTGTACGTGCAGTTGTGCCCATGAGTTCCGCCTTACCATTTCCCGTTTCCACTGCAGTGACGTCTCTGGCACCAACCTCGTATGCCCACCTGACTACTCCGCCTGTGGCACAACACAATCTCCCAACGCAGCCTTTTGTGGCACATGTCAATCCTTCTGCAAGACTTGCTACCAATCTGCAGGCAAGTAAATAAACATCAGCAAAGTACGGTCTCAAGAGTCGAAACTCGATGCATGGAGGAAGGCATTTCAGAGTACAGCAAGCAACGCGTGGCAAGGCATGGCAAAAGACAAGGCAATGCACGGACAAGGCATGTCAATGCATGGCACAAGGCATGGCACAAGGCATGGCACAAGGCATGGCACAAGGCATGAGCACAAGGCATGAACACAAGGCATGAGCACAAGGCATGAGCACAAGGCATGAGCACAAGGCATGGCACAGAGCATGGGACAATGCATGGCACAAGACATGACACACACACAGCGCATGGCACAATGCATGGGCACAAGTCAAGGGACAAGGCGTTGCACAATGCATGGCACAAGCCATGGCACAACGCATGGCGCAATGCATGGCACAAGGCATGGCAGAATGCATGGGCACAAGGCATGGGACAAGGCATGACACAATGCTTGCCCGAATTATTAAAAAGCACCTCACCTACTTTGGACAATAAGAGGGGTGTAGAGTTTTCTCGCATTGAGATCATGCAAAATTACGATCAATCTAGGCTCTCTTACCGCGGAGCATCACCCTTCTGATCGTTTTTTACGCACTTGCCTGCTTGGCTGAACGTTTATTGCTCACACGTTATAACGCCCTCTTGACAACTCTTCTAGTTATAACCTTCATGCAGTCCCCACTGCAACTCTTCCTCAGCAGGAGGTGCGGGTACAGTGTCATTGGGCGCCATCATTGGCATTGTTGTTGCCGCTATGGTCATTCTCCTACTTCTTGGTGCAGCTCTGCTTTACTTCACACACAAAATCAAGCTGAAACCACAAGGTAGGGAGACAAAGCAACCAGAAGAGTTCATTCTGAATAACCAAACCCTGTCTTGTTTCAACCATGGCGATAAGTGAGGAGCTAGTTCTCCATTGCATGAACTTAGACATCTGCATGCAAGTCTGCAAGACTAATCATGCTCGACTCGACAAAATCCAGCAGCCGAAACCGAGCTCTCAAATCTCTTGCCATGAAATGAGTGAGATCGACTCCCCACTAACAGCGTGGCTTGGTGCACGCATTCACTTCAATCCCCAGCGTACAGGCCTGTATGCATGGCCACACAACTCTGGAACTTAAGTGGCACAAGGTGTTGAGGCAGTAGATGGTCTAAATCTCAGTTTCCAGGTTTTGGAGCTGCAAAGATTCGTAGAGGCTCAGTGTAGAATATCCCGTGAACTGATTGGCACGCCGCAAATCAATTCCCTAGAATGTTGGGCCAAGTCATGGGACTCGACTCGTCACATGATTCGACTGAGGCCGGCCGAACTCGACCTGACTCGACTCCACTCAACTCGTGCCCAGGCATTTTCCCCTGCACCCATGCACCTCCTTTCACATATGACCCCACGAGCAGGCTCGGGGAGCAGCCTGGCATCCTCGCACTGCACCGAATTCTCACTAGCAGAAGTCCTCAAGGCCACCAATGACTGGTCCAAGGACAACCAGCTGGGCTCAGGTGCCTTTGGCGATGTGTACAAGGGTGTGTCTCCCCGCGATGGCATTACCATGTGGGCTGTCAAGCGCGCCAAGCTGATCGACGTGGACTTTCAGAAAGAGGTCAGTGAGTGAGGTGCACATGTGAAGGTTGCAAATTTTATTTCAGTGGTATGTTTTGTCAGTGAGCCATGGTGAACCATGGTGAGCCGTGATAAGATGGCAGGTGTCAGTGACATCATTTTCAATCCCACGTCAAGATTTATATGCTCTATTGAAATGTTACATTGCCATGATGTCTTTTGCTGTTCAACTAATTATAGATCGTGTCTTCAATGCTGGTAAATTTAGGACATTCCCTTGGCTGCTTCTCCATTTGTTTTGTCATCCCTGATCATATTTGTTTCTTTTCCTCTGGCTGTGTGGATCAGATCCAGCAGATGGCCGACAAGAACCATCCCAACATTGTGAAGCTCCTTGGATTCGCGATCGGAGGAGACTTGAGGACTCGGCCAGAGCAAGTTCTGATCTATGAATATGTGCCCAATGGCGACCTTCACATATGGATTGGTCCAAGTATGCGTGATACTCCTCCAGCGTGTTTTTTGCTGTGCCACGCAGATGGCGTGTTGTGCCGCGCAGATGTTGTGTCATAAATATGCCGTGCAATTATATGATGTGCCACTTTATGCTGCAAATCCTTGCAGAGGCAACCTGTGCTTTGTCATTCATGCTCTGCCACTCACGCTTTACCACCCATCCTCTACCACCCTTCCTCTATCACTCATCCTCTACACATCCTCTGCCACTTGTCTGCTGCCACTCGTCCCCTGTCATTCATCTTCTGCAATTCATCCTCTGCCACTCATGCTGTGCCAATCATATGCTGTGCCAATCATATGCTGTGCCATTATATGTTGTGCCAATCATATGCTGTGCCATTATATGTTGTGCCAATCATATGCTGTGCCATTATATGTTGTGCCAATCATATGCTGTGCCATTCGTCCTTTACCATTCATCCTTTTCCACTCATCCCCTGCCACGTGTTTCTTGCAGAGGCATCCTGCCCTCTGACTCTGAAGCAGCGGCTGGACATTCTCATCGGCATGGCACGGGGCTTCGAATACCTCCACGGCTTTGGCATCGTGCATCGGGACATCAAGCCTGCCAACGTCCTCATCACCAACAGCATGCAGGCAAGCTTGGTCGTCGTAGTGGATCCTGTCTAGTGAAGATGATATATATATATATATACACATACATATATATATATATAAGTTTGAACAAGGGGTCATTGCCACAACACTACACCAACTATGGCTGGAATGTCTTTCAACTTCATATATTGTTTCTCACAGCAACCATTTACTCAGCCCACTCACAAACCCTTTTACTTACATTTCATGCTCTTTTGTGGATGGCACCACAAGCGACCAGAGTTCTCACTGAGTGATTAATTCCTCATGCTACAATGCCGCCACCAGGCGAAGATTGCCGACTTTGGTCTGCTGAGGATGGGGGAGGGCACAACCGTGGGCACAACGCGCATCATGGGCACACCGGGCTTTGTGGATCCGGTCTACTCCATCACGTCCAAGGCCACTGCAGCCAGCGATGTGTACAGGTGAGGCAGTGATGTGTACAGGTGGGCCAGTGAGGTGTAGAGGTGATCATTGCAAAGGCCCTATGGGGATTCAGTCTACTCCAAGGCACCGCTGCCAGCGATGTGTGCAGGTGGGCCAGTGAGGTGTAGAGGTGATCATTGCAAAGGCCCTATGGGGATCCAGTCTACTCCAAGGCACCGCTGCCAGTGATGTGTGCAGGTGGGCCAGTGAGGTGTAGAGGTGATCATTGCAAAGGCCCTATGGGGATCCAGTCTACTCCAAGGCACCACTGCCAGCGATGTGTGCAGGTGGGCCAGTGAGGTGTACATGTGAAGCAGTGATGCGTACAAAAGTCCTTGCTGGAAGTGCATAGTATTCAGTAAAGGAGAAACTAGAAATGCATTGTAGTAGGAGTCAGCACCCAATAAGACCCGCCCCAAATCTTATGTGTGTGTGATATATGGACCTGTACATGTTGCGGTCAGGAAATAAAACTTATCTGAAAAGCATGTGCCTCTCCCCTCTTCTCTTCCTCTGCCATCTTGTGCCCTGAACATTCTGTGCCTTTGAACATGTCCGCTTTTTTTTCAGCTTTGGAGTGCTCATGTTGGTGGTCCTCACGGGACGAGAGCCAATCTCGGAAACTGCTGGAGAGAGCTGGAAGATCACTCCGTGGGTAAGTGCTTATCCCATGGGACCACCGCGTATGTAATTACCTCAACCCATGAAACCACCTTCCGCCACTACCACATGTGTGGTTGTGGTACTTCCTTTCTTTCCTCGTCCATTTTACACTAGTGGTCCTCACAGGGACGTCAGATCACTCTGTGGGTGAGCACCACTTGCCGGTACTTCCAAAGACTCAAATAGCATATTCTCCAAAGGAAATATTTCCAACTTCTTGAATACCATATATGTACCCTCCCAATCCCTCCACCTGCTCCACCTTTCAACACTCCCTCCACACCCTGCAAACCCTCCACCCTCTCCAAACTCTCCACCTTCTCCCACCCTCAATCTTCTCAACCCCCTCAGGTGGCGGAGTGCCTGTCCAAGAATGACGTGGGGAGCCTCATGGACCCCACCATGGACGCCCCTGCTGAAGCTGTGCTGCGAGTGGCTCAGATCTCCCTCGCCTGCACTGGAGAGCGCACTGCAGACCGCCCAAGCATGGTGCAGGTTGCCAACGAGCTGCAGGCCATTCGCGAGGCAGTGGGGGGGAAAGAGGTGCTGTGTGCTGCAGTCAAGGTGGATGCGCAGGTGCAGGAGATGAAGGATGTTGTCGCCGGTGTCGCAAGCCTCGACACGGAAATTATGAAGATTGGAGAGCAGGCCTCAGGATAACAGGATGATTCACCTTTATAAGACGTGGTCTGAGCTGTGAATAAATGGGTGTTTCGCCTTTATGACACTCATTATATGGGTCTGTGCCCTTACAAGAGTGTGAATAATCTCTAAGCTGCCTCATAATTGTAGAGGGTGATGATGCACCTCCATATGGGAAAAACGTCGGTCCAATGTGAGTGTGTGCTGCAACGAGTTAGGCGAAATAAAACGAAAAGAGATCATACTATGAAATGCTGATGTGCCAACTTCTCACTGATGGGGCAACTGATGTGTGTGTGTGTATGTGTGTGAGTGTGTATATGTGTGTCAGGAGTACGACACAATACAAGATTGTTAAGACATATAGACTTTTAGAGCACCTTTGATGTTATGTGTTTTCTAGTCAACTTCCATTCTTTCTACAGGCTTGTAACATGAACCTTTTATTTTGCTTACATAAGCACTTGCAAAACATAGCTAGTGTGAAACATGTGCGTATTTCAAAACTCAGCTCTTGTCGAGTCTAAAGACGCGTACAGCAGATGTCGGAGTCCCTTCCCTTACTGCTTTTCACCCTCGCCCTGTTCCTGCATTACTCTGCTCGCTCCCCTTGTTCCTGCCTCATTGCGCTCAGTCCCCTTTTCCTCCTTCTGTCCTTGCATAGTCATCCCTTCCTCAGCCACTCCCTGCCCCCTCCTGTGCTCGTGCTCGGGCTGCCCGTGCACGTGTCACAGGACCCTCTTGCTGAGGCCGTCTCTCCTTCACTGCCGCCGTGTTCATCTGGTGATCCACTGTCTGCTCTCCTCTCTCATTTTCCAAAACCAGCACCCCTGACCCTCTCACCTCTTTAACCTTCCACCTCTCTGTTCCCAACCCCACGTCCAGCGTGTCTTTCTTTGCTCTGCGCAGGTAGACTTCCTGTCCTTCTGTCACTGCTGGCTTCGCTTTCCTGCCTCCGTGCTGCTGCCGCTGCTCGTATCTGTGGGCATCTCTCAGCTGCGCCGTGTGCAAGTTCTCCAAGGCAGCCGGGAGCATTTCCCGCATTTATCTTGCTCGTGCTTCTGCCAGCGCCACCCACTGTTCCGCTCCCTTCACACTCACCACCCCCGTCAGTACCCTTGGTGCTCCCACAGGCAGTATTGGTTCCTTTCCATATAGCAGGCTGTACGGGGAGTAGTCCTTTAGTGACGCCTGCTTCCCGAACCTGTACCCTGCCGCCACCCAGTCTAGTTCTTCATCCCAGTCCCTCTTCTGCTTCTCTCCGTACGCCCTCAGGTTCCGCTTCAAGGTCTGCACCAGCCGCTCGGTCAACCCATCACTCTGAGGATGGTACCTTGATGTCTGCCTGTGTGTCACCCTTGCCTCGTCCAGCAGCGCCTGGAACCCCCCCTTGAATTCCGTGCCCTGATC